AAAATTTCTTCTTATTATTGTTAGTAAAATCTTCAAAGTGCGAATAACAACAAAAATGCATAAAATATACTTAAGGAACATAAGCATATCAATTTATGCGCAAAGAGACTAGACACTCAAAATCCAATGTAATCCAAAAATAGACATGATTATAATGCTAAAAATCATTATGCAAAAGGATATTTAAAAATTCTTATACCTTAATTGTTTTATTATCCATCTTAGCATTATTATTATTATTATTATTATCATTATATATATATATATTTACAACATGTAGTAATCTTCATGCCAAGGGTATAAAATGAAATTTTCTGTACACTTATAAGTGGCTCATGTATGGATTGAAGAAAAAAAAGCATGCAAGCAATCTAACTAACAAAATAATGGTGGAACCATGCAAGACACGTGAAGTTTCCACTACATCAAAAAAACTAGGCAAACAAAACAATAGTGGGACCGTGCCTTGCATTTGATCCTATCATTACATAAAGAAGCTAGGCAAACAAGACCATGGTGGGATCATGGATTGCATTTGACTATTTCACTACATATGGGAGCTAGGCAAACAAGATAATGGTAAGACTATGCAGTACATGTGATACTTTCCCACATCTATAAATGATTCAAGCATTGAATGAAGAGATAAAATCATGCAAGAAAGCTAAGCAAGAAAAACAAATAAGAATAAGCAAGCTTTGAACTTTTATACAGACTATATGCCAAAAAGGCATAATAGGCATGGCAAGAGGAAAGCCTTAAACTTTTGACCAGATCGAAAATAACATAAAGGAATTTTCAACTTTCATACACAATTCCTATATAACATGATGAAATATATCTCATATACTGAAGCTAAAAACAAGAGTGCAGGTTTTATGATTTTCTAAATGAACTATATACAAAAAAGACAACGACATGATTGACAACCATTTTCTTCACCTCACATGGTAGAACATGAATATGAAATACCTTAACAGGTCAAGAGGACTCCCTCTTCTCAAGTCTTTCTAAAAAGTTCTATTTTTTTTTTTAGTCTAAACTCTCTTTCTTCCTCTCATTTCTCTTCTCTATTATAGCTCCTCCCTTTTTTTTTTCTTCCTTCTCTTTTGTTTCTTGATGTTACCTATCCTCCAAACCCTCATATTTTTTTGTGGTTTTTGGCTCTCCCCCATAAACACTAGAAAACTTCTTTTTTAAAGCCTCCTAGCCTTCATCCTCAAGGCTCCAAAGTTTTTTTTCCTTGCTCCACTAACCATGTCTCTTGTCATTTGTTGTAGGTGGCCATTCCTCCACTTTAGCCCATTAGCTTGTACCCCGCTGAATGTTCCCTGTACTGGCCCTTTTGTTTCAAAAAGAAAAAGCTTTGTTTCTTGATGAATATAGGCCCTTGGATCAAGTTATATCCAATGGTTCACATTATTCACTGCAAAAGTTGTATTTTTAGCTTCTAAACCCATGAAAAAAACCATTTTACTCTTAGTGCAAAGTTTTCAGTATTTAGGTCATTTTCTTAGAAATTAATATTCCTATGCTCATTTTTAGGATTTTAAAACACCAAAAATTATGAAATATTATGAAATTAAGATTTGAAAAGTTTTGTGAAAATCCGAGCTCGAAAAGATCAAATTACAAAAATACCTTTATAAAGGTATTTTGGTAATTTTACACTTTTCAAGGTACTGCTGTGATTTCAAATGCACCAAAAAATATGAAATATTATAAAAATGTGATCTGGAGAGTTTCATGACAATCTGAGCTTGGGAAAGCCAAATTACGAAATACCCCTATAAAGGTATTTTGGTAATTTCGTACTTCTTGGAGATTGTTGTTATTTCAAATGCACCAAAAATTATGAAATATTATAAAATTGAGATATGAAAAGTTTCATGAAAATCTGAGCTTGGGAAGGCCAAATTACGAAAATACATTTATAAGGGTATTTTGGTAATTTCACACTTATTGAGGGACTGTTGTTATTTCAAATGCACCAAAAATCATGAAATATTATAAAATTTAGCTCTAAAAAGTTTCATGAAAATTCAAGTTCAGAAAGGTCAAATTACTAAAATACATCTCATAAGAGTATTGTTGTAATTTTGCCCTTCCCGAGGTATAATGAAAATTTTAATGTTTCAAAAAATCTCAAATTTAATTTTAAACCACATTGATTTCAATTAAATTTTGAATTTTCAAAATTGACCTGAGCTTGATCCATTTCGACAGTTTTTTGTAAATTTGACTTTATTTGACTGGATTTGACTTTGTTTGACTTTGAATTTTTTAATAAACAAATTTGTAAGCTTTTTATGGGTCTTAAATGGCTATTCTAAATGGTCTTAGCCTATGTTCATAAACGAATCTTGGGTCAATCATGTTGAAAAATATTTCGAACAAAATTTGGTGTCTACAATCCTAGATAAGAGAATGGTTAAGAAGGGTAACAAGGCTATCATCGAAGTGTTGGTAGAATGGACTAATTCCTTCCCAGAAGATGCCACTTGGAAGTTTGTTCGAGTTGCAACAAAAGTATCCTGCCTTAGATCCTTGAAGACAAGGATCTCTTTTATGGAGAGGTTATTGTTGCAGGCTTAGAAGATTGGACTACAGTTGGTTTATATTTTAGTTTTATTTACTATTAATACTAGACTTATTTTTATTCTTGTAAGGTCTATATTTAATAAAGCCCATTTTCTTACTATGTTATTACTATTTTGAGGGAAGAGAGAACTAATTGCACTAAAAGGGAAAATGGGTATCGTGTAAATCATGGAATGGAATAATCTTTTTCTCTCTCCTAAAATTATGTGTTCTTCTCTAAACTTCTTATTTGAGAGACTTTCTTGTTCTATATCCAAAACAAGCTGCATCAAACCATTTCATTCAAAACAAGAAAACAAAGTCAATAAGCAAACCAATTCGTCAAAAATGTACACAATAAGGCTTACAATTATAGGTGATGGGGTTTCAATAGTAGAAGGGAAAGATTGTTTGGTGTTTTTAAACTTGAGAGACCGGTTGAGGGTCTTGATGGGTTCATTGGCTGTTGAAGAATTGAGGGTTTAAGGCTTTGGAAATGGAGAAAAGAATGAATGTCATTAGAAGCCTATGGTGATGTAGTGGATATGAGAGTTACACGAGTTGAATTAGGTATAAGGAAAATGTAGGGGGAGAGAAAATAAAAAATAGGGGTTAGAGGTTTCAAACTTAAAAGACTAACTTTTTTTTTCTTTTTTTCTTCATCTAAATTTATTATCGATAAAAAATTTCATCAATAATCCTTTAAAAAATATTATTGACCTATAACCTAATATAATTTCTTTTTTTGATCCTTTGTATAGTCAACCCTAGAGTCATACCATATAAAACTTAGTTCATTATTATTATTGTTGTTGATAATAAATATAAAATGATAATAATGATTTTAAAAGAAGATTTTAGAAATAAAAATAAAATAATATTCTTAGTAAAGAAAAATTTTGAACTTTATCTAAATGTTAGAGGAATCCCAATAATTATTTTTTTATAAAAAAATATTTTTAATTTAAGAGATTATTATAAGAATTCTCTAGTAGATAAATTGTTTTTTTAAATTTCACCTAAATGTTAAGAAATTTAGTGAAAATTTTCAACATCAAAGATTTTTATTTTATTCTTAAAATTATGATTTATTTTCTTTTATTCTTGGACAAAGAGATTTTTTTTTTTTTTTTAATTTTGGTTTACAGGTTTAAAAAGGAAAGAGATAACTGGGATTGAATCCATGCCTTCTTTAAGCTTATTAAATTATGCTTGGTATACAAGATTATGATAAGATAAAATTAAATGATATTGTTAATAGGCTTAAATTAAATAATATCATTATATCTCATTTTTTATGTCTATAAGGATTATGATAGAATAATTTATTTATTGGTTAAAATTATTTTTCTTAAAAGTTTATACAATTTAAATTATTGATAAAATTTTTAAGAGTATAATAGGACATATAAGTTTAATTGTATGGATTAAAAATATTCTTCTCCACTTTGAGAGGATTGAATCATCTTATACCAAAGGGATGATAATCTTCCTTGTAATCTTATCTCTTTTAATTAGATACAAACCAAATATAATATAAAATTATTATTATATTATACTATCCATTATCCTATAGGCCTCGAGAATGAAAGCAAAAAAAGAAGATTTTCTTATACTCAAAGAAATTAAAGAAATTAGTTTTAAATATTAAAATTAATATCATATTTATCAATATTAAGAAGATAATGCTTGATTAATGAGTATTGTTTTGAATTAATACTATGAGAATGCTAATACCTTTTATATGTGTAACCATGAATTAATAATTGTTAAGAGATAACATCTAACAAGACTAAAATATCCCAATATCTGCAATCCTTTCTCCCATTCTCATATTGCACTCTACTTTATAAAAAAAAAAAAATTATTCTTACAATTTAAAAAATAAATCAACGTTATAATGAAATGTTTCCTTGCAGAAGTATTTTTGTTAAAAAAACGATCCTTGTGTTTGTGTTTTCATTAACGAAATGATCCGAAAATGATCGAGTTAGTCGAGCGACGATTACCCTTTCCTAACCCACAGCTGCAAAATTTCTTTAGGCAAAATATACAAAAAAAGTGTTCCGTTTTTCTCATTCTGTTCTGCTATTAGCAAGACAGTGAGATGTGCCTCCCTGCACGAAGATAGGCTTACTTTAAACATCAAAGTATAAGAGTCTGCTTCTTCTAAAGCAAATATGCATCATTGACCAACAGAACCTTGAAAATCTTTCTCTAGATTAAATAAAATCATATCCCACGGCAGCTTCTTGATGTCCCAATACAAAGCCGATTGCAGCAACAACTTAAATTTGCACCAGAAAAATCCTTAGTCAAATCAAATAAAGACACTAGAAAGCTTACTTGAATCAATTTCCAACCTCTTTTTATGGAAGATTCGTTCCTTAGCCCAAGAAAACAACATAAAGTTCAAAGTGTAATTCACAACAAGCAACATTATGATCTGATAGATTTTTCAATTCCATTTGCTAGAGATTATAACAGAGTATGATAAACTAGCTCCAGAAGAACGATGGATGAAAACAAAGGAACCTATCTCAGGAAGCCTCAGTGGCAGCTTGGGTCACTCCAAACTTCAGCAACAACTTACTCAGAGAATCAGGTGAGCAGACCTGGTAATTAACATTCCCAGAAGGTGTAAGGAAAACCTCAGCCAGTTCAAGCTTCTCTGAAGTAAGGCTAGTGCTGTCCATGGTTTTACTGAGCACCTTCAGTGCCAGTTGGACAGCTTCTTCCCTTGTGATATCATCCTTGTAATCTTGTTTTAACATTGACTGTGCCGCCTGGTTATTGGCACCAATAGCTGCAGCTTTCCATCCGCTGTAGTTTCCACTAGGATCACTCATGTAGAGTTGAAAACCATAATTTTTGTCCCATCCTGCAAAAAGAAATGAAACACCAAAGGGGCGGAGACCACCAAACTGTGTGTAACCCTGTTTCGTGTCACAAAGAGATTGAACTAACTGTTCAACAGGCATTGGCTCTTGGTAAGCATATGTGTATCGTTGTGCTTGCACCCTTGCAGTGTTAATAAGGATGTTTGCATCAGACATTATTCCCGCCACAGCACAAGCAACATGATCATCAATCTTGTACATCTTCTCCGTAGATGTAGAGGTTTGAAGAAGCTTGGAAGTAACTTTCTTTTCACCAACCAAGACAGCACCATCCTTTGACAATATTCCAATCGCAGTGCCAGCATTTCCAATGGCCTCCATTGCATACTCAACTTGGTAAAGACGACCTTCAGGGGAGAAGATTGTTGTGCGGCTATCATATCTCCGAGACATTTTTGTTATAGAGATAATTCGCTAAATACGGAAACGGAGAAAAAAGACCCTGTCAGACATCAGTGTTGACAGGAAATAGACAAAAAAACAAGCATGCCAGGAGCATAATAAAAGATGGGAAGGCAAGAAAAAGTGAATTAAAATAAATAAATAAACAAATGAATAATACATAAGGACAAAAAGCCAAGGTATTAAGTAATAGTGAAAATATTTTTATCCTTTTTATGCAGTCAAATTCACTTTTATCATGCTAATTTCTTTTTTTATACAGAGTTTACAAAGAAGATAAGACACTATATGCAGCAAAAACCACTAATGCAACATCCAGAATTCTATCTCAAGCATCAAGAATTCAAGAAGCATGTGATGAAAAGTGAAATGCATAAAGCATGTATATGATATGCTTGAATAACATCAAAGGGAGAGGAGAGAAACTCAATGATTTTAAATGCATATTACACAAAGAATATGCATATGCATTGCAACATAGGTGTGCGTGTGTGTATGCGCAACTAGGACCGACCTTATATTTATTATGATAAATTATCTCATGCACTGTAAGCGGAGTTTTTCGACTCAATAAGCAGAGCTAGTAGGGTGACACATATCCACTTAAGGTATATTTAAAATTAAAAAAAAAAAACCCTAATTAAAAAAGAAGTGAGACAAGTGGTAATCTCTTAACCTCGCTTGTGGAGTTAAAAATTCCACTGCCAGTGCATAAAAAATGAACTCTTTTATTATATATTCCTTCTTTTTCTTTTTTGTTAGTTTGAATATGATTGTTAATCCAACCCCACTCCCAAAAGAGTTAATGCCCAAAGGCACTTGAGCAGAGGCTTTGAACACCAGCACTTCCGAGTATCACCTCCTCATTCCAAATCAAAGAAACTGCAAGTAAACTCAATATATTTGAAACCTGAAATTTCACTCATCATCCTCGAGCACATTACTGTCAACCTATGAGTTAAAAAAAGAAAGTGTAAAGCAAGGCCTTTTATTCCTCACTAGTCCAAACTTTTGATTTTTAATTAAAATTTCAATAATTGCAAAATATTCCAGTCATAAAAAACTACCATGAAAACATTTTATAAAAATAAACGTTTAAAAATTTTGAAATACAAAATATAATTTATACATAATAAAGCTATAAAGATATAAGTACAAAGAAAAAAAAAAAAACTTATTGTAGTTTTGATCCTAATTGGAACTGAGGTAAATCATAGGTTGTGCCTTCTCTTAGGAATATAAAAGATGTCGGTCCAAATATTCGAAATGACATCTACTTTAACATCTTTTCAAGTATGATTAACGTAACTCCACATGCCAACACACAAAAAAAAAGACAGAAAATAGGAAACCCAATAACATAAAACTTAGTTTCTTTAGAATGTATGAGAATGCAAATCTAGCCATGACTCTCCCTCCCCAATGGTACAATTTTGGAGAAATTTTTCGGGGAATGAAGTTAGAACTTTTGTTATATTAGGATACAAAATGGATTTTATTCCCACAACTTTGGGCCAAACCAAAAGCCAACCTGTTCAATTTAACCCTTTAAAGAAATTATTAGTTTCTGTATACAAAAAATCTCTAGACTTCCTACTCTACTTTCAGCCCTCAGAAATAATTTGGTAGATGAAGTTATCTAATTTGGTTCAACTTGATGATAAATAAAAATGAATAAATACTCTACATATAGGGCTTTTGGACAAGGATGGGGAACCTCAAGTCATCAGTACAACATTCCAGGACCAGAATGGAGGTTTCTCCATCTTTGGTGGCGATAGGTAATATTTTTTCTCCACATGACAGCATTGTAAATGGTAAAATTGTAACCATCCCAGCTCAGGCCAATCTAAGAATTCGCATTTCAGCAATGACGCGCCTAACATTATAAAAGCTTTTCATCACTTGAGGTGTGAATTTGTTTTATAAATCTTAATTGTAACCTTCAGTGGTGAAATTAGGACCATTAGTGCCAAAAAAAGGTTGAATGAAAAAGCTTTTAATGTAGATTATATCTAAGCATGGAAAGGCTCATGAGTCCATAGGAAATGATTCATGGGAAGCAACCAACTATAACAATATGACTTACTTCTATTTGGACCTACTGTAGAAGTTTCTTTCTTTCGGTTTTTCTTTTTTCCCTAATTTCCCGCTTCATTTTGGAAAGACATCACTCCCTCTTCAGTACATTTGAAACCAATCTAGGCACACTATAACAACTTTCCCCAAGTGGAAGTGTCTAAGGGGATAAACTTAATATCATGAATGATGAGATTACATTTTTCCTTCTAAAATTTTCTCCTAAATTTTTGGTAGAAAATTTCTGTCAAATACAAGGGCATTGGGCATGTAGGATTTTGAAGAGCTTAGGATAAAAAAAAAAAAAATAAGGAAGGTGATTAGAATATATAATATAATCATATCTTATGTTTGGTATATGAAATTAAGATAGGATGATATCTATCCTACACCATGTTTGGTGTGTCAATATGAAAAAAATAAGGAAGGCAACTGGAATATATAACATAATCATATCTCATGTTTGATATATGAAATTAAGATAGGATGATTTTTATCCTACACCATGTTTAATATATCAATATGAAACGGTAGGATAGGATCTTTTTTTTTACCAGTCACAAAATTAAATTGATTTTACCCATAAAAATAGTTTATTGGATTAAAAATAATATGCTGGATAAAATGTAACCAATGTTGGGGTAAAGGAAAGAAGAAAAAGAAAAGGAGGAAAAGCAAGAAAAAATTTTTTTTTCTTAGGATGAAAAATAAACCTCCCCTTTTTGAAAGGATTGACTCATGCCATATGAGGATGGCTTCCCCTATCTGCAATCCAACGCTCCTTTTTATGTGCAAACACAACATATAATTGATACTTATTATCGTTCCCTACCCATCATCTTGCACACAAAAACACCCAAAGAGCATTTGGATGGGGAATTTTAAAATTTTGAAGAAATTTGATAAAATGCATCATTTCAAAACATTTGTCATTTATTTTGTTTGGACAAATATTTCTTAGAAGAAAATTTAGGATGATGGAATTTTATGAGATAAAAAAATAGTTGTGAAAGAAGATTAATGATATTAAAAGTAAAAAAAGACGTATATATAATATGCAATATGTGTATCATTAGATTTGTAAAAATGTATAGATCAGGGATTTAAATAACGATCGCGATCACATTGCGTTTATCGCATTTTCGAACATAATGAAGACAATTACGATCATCGTGGTCGTGATTTTTTTTAAAATTTTGTAATATTTTTTATGAAATGTAATAATTATAATTATAATCATAAAAATATGATTTTCAAAGTAATTTATGATACTCTATGTTTTTTATTTTCTAAAAGAATTATTCACAATTTTATTTAAATTATAATAAAAAATTCATATTTGGTTTAGTAGCAAATTATAAACTTCCCTCAATCCCTCTTAACTAGATTTTCTCTAAAAGAATTTCAAAATCTAAAAATTTTCAAATTTATATTTTAATAAAATTAATTACTAAATTAAAACAAAAAAAAACCTACCCCTCCTCCCCATGAACCAAATACCCTCAAAACCCATTCCACTCGCACAATCCCAACCCCAAATTTCCCTGAATCGTGAATCCCACCCAATTCCTAAATTCCCTCCTCAAGTCTTCTTCATGACCTCTCTTAAGTCAACAACCCAACCTTGCTCAAGTCTTCTTCCTCCCCTCAATTTCTTTGCATCTCTCACTCTCTCTCCCATCTCCCTCTTGCCTACTCCAACCTCCATTCACCAGCTATTCGCGTCTCCCTCTTCTTCCAATCTATCTACTCTCTCACGGCTTACTCCATAAAACCTAGTCCCAAGTCGACCTCTTAAGTCCCAACTCTCTCTCCCACACCCATCAACTCTCGTCACTATCACAGCATACAGAGTACAACCTCAACCTTGGCCTCGTCTCTCTCAAATTCTTGGCTGTTGAAGTTTTGAGTTTTCTTTTTTAACTTGAATTGGTGATGGGAAAACGAGGATAACGACTACAACGGACCGTTATTGCGGCTATTCCTCATTACACCGTTTTCTAACGGCCATTACGTACCATTTTGAGTGTAATTGAATTTCACAATCGCATTTACCTTGATAGCGGTAGCGGCTAGTGGTGCTATCGCGATTTCATGACCGTTATTCCTCTGTAGAAGCACTATTCAATTCCCTAATATAGATATTATCAATAATATAAAAATAAAAATATTTATTAAAGTTAAATAAAATTATATTTTGTTTTTTGAGTTTTGTATTTCATAGTGAGCCAATTGGGTAAAAGGAGGAGATTTGGAAGAATTTTGAAAAACCACCTGTTTAGGTGGGATTTCAAGAGGGAATTTGTGGTGATCGTCAAATCCTCTCTTGAAATTCCTCCTAAATTTTCAAATTCTCTTTTAATTTTACCTAAACAAGCAAATTCATTTTTGCACTTTAGGAAACTTTGATTGAAATGAAATCCCTCCTCCAAATACCCCCTCCAAATACACCTATGTGGATGATATTACACAACAATGAATGAAAATCTGCGAAAGGAAAGCACGGAAACTAGTGCTTTGGTTTGGTTTGGTTATCAAGGGGAATAAAATTAAATAGAAATCAGTGAGGGTCTGAAAATTCAAACTGAATACCAACAGTAACTCCAGAAAAACAAAGCTCAACCAAACTAGTTTAGCACCAAACACATCCTAAGTGGATGATATTGCACAATCATGAATGAAATCTATTAGAAGGAGAGTATGGAAATTTGTTTGCTTTGGTTATCAAGGGAAATAAAATTAAACAGATATCAGTGAGCTTCTGAAATTTCAAACTGAACACCAAAAGAATCTCTTCAAAACTAAAGCCAAACAAGCATAATGTTCTAGTTTGGATTCTCAATTTCAACTTTCAATAATCAAGAGAAATTTGCCCACCAAAATAAAATATTAGAAAAGAGAAGAGCTGCTAACTGAATTTGCATAAAAAAGAAAAAAAAAAGAGAGAGAGAAACAGAAGAGACTAAATAATATCTTTAAGCCTTTAATCTAGGTTTTTTTTTTTTTTTTTTTTTTTACAGGAGAAAATATAATATGTTTTACTTTTTTAGACAAAAAAATGGAGAGTGAGAGGCGGTCGGAATGCAGTGTGACCAAGAAGAAAACATAGTATAATCTTTTGAAAGTTAATATCCACACTTGGAGGATCTGACTCCCTCCCCATACATAAAATGTCTATTGCTTTTAGTTACATTATGATAGTAATATTTAGTCCAAGGACCATCACAACTACGCAAAGTCAACCTAAAATATAGGTAACATTGTTGTTTTAATATCTGATGCAAAAGAGCATCTAATATAACAAATTGCCCTTACGATCAATTGACCTTGGATACATGTTTGCAAAACAAAATTTTTGCAATTCCTTAATTATCGTGCCATAATGAATTTTTTTTGAGTCTATATACTATCAAAACAAATCGATGGCCCTCCCTATCCATTTTCACATTATTATTCACATTATAAACATGAAAGAAGATCATTTATATTCCAAACCACAACTTTAGCTTTGCTCAAAGTGTGTAACCAACCCAACTCTATAGGCTACAATCGAATCAAGAGTGGCCATACCTTTTTCTAAAAAATGAAAATATGAAATTACTGAAACACTGGAAAGCAATCAAGGGTGGTAAAATCTTAAAAAAAAAAAAAAAAGAAAGAGAGAGAGAGAAAAAAAAAAAGAAACAATGCTGTAAAAGTTACAAGCTTGTTTCAGTATCACATCAGCTAAAGAAAAACTCACAACTCTACTCCTCCCAAGGAACTTGAAAGCTTGCAAGAAGAACCCAAAATATTCCTAATCCAGTAGCATACTAGAAAATCCTAATTAATTATCTTAACTAATCTTAATCTCTCTCGTCTCCTCCAATTTTTTCCCTCATTCTTTAATTAAACTCATTAATTATCTCTAAATTAAACGTTAGAATAAATCTGATGCAGGAACCAGGAAGCTTCCCAGCATGTATTGGGTCACAAATTTAATGAGTTTAAACCCGATTTTAAGTAGAAAGCTGCCATGGATATAAAGAAATGTAAAACCTTCTCGAAATTTCAAAGAGATTCAAGCTTCCACCATAGATACAGGCGAATCAATAAGATGGATGAAGCAATCAAACAAAGTGAAGAATAAACAAAGATTAATGAGATAGGGAAACTCACCTCTTTAAGGCTTTCGGCTTTCCCCCAATGTAGATCAAGAGAGAGAAGAAAGTTGAGAGACAAATCTCTTCTTAAAATTGAAAGCCCCGTGAGACTTGAGAGTTTATTTCGAGGAGACTTGGGCAAAGGGCAAGCGACTCCGCAACGGTACAGGTAGGCAACCCCGAAAATGTTACGTTATTAGGGCTGACTCTGTCCTGTCCAGCCCGAAGATATTATTTTATTAGTGAATAATGAATATTTTTTAAATTTTAATCTAAATTATTCTTAACTTATGTTTTTTAGTTTTTAAGGGTAGAACCTTGCAACAAGAGAGAAGGAAAAGGTAAGGGGCGAAATCCAACTTATGTTTTTTTTAAATTTTTTTGATCACTAATTTAAGAAGTTAAAGATTAAATTATTTTTAATATTTAAATATCAATAATGATGTCAAAACATTTGTAATATTTTATTGATAAATATTATGTAAACTAACGAGCTCAACCATAAAAATCTTTATGTAATAGTTAGAGATGTTCATAAATTGAGTTGTTTTTTATTGTCATTTTTATATTAAATTGACGTTGATTGATCATTTAAAATTCTTGCTTAAAGTTAGTTTAATTGACCTTTAAACAAGTTTTATTTTAAATATTTATTCAAAATTTTGCTTAGCTCATCATTAAAATCATTCACACCAATTTAATTTAAATTTATAATAAAATAATAAAAAATTTTACAATAACCTTTTAAATATATCTTAAAGTTAAATTTAAATAAAATTTAATTATGTAATAATATAATATTTTTAGACGTCAAGTTTGGACTTTAAAAATTTTATCTAGAATCTAACTAGTGGATAAGTCTAGCAACAAAATTTTCCCCAAATTTATTTGCTTTTAAAATTTGTTGGGAATTGAAGATATAAGATCAAAGTATAAAGTAGCTCTCATAACATATATTTTAATCACTAAATTTAAAAATAAGGAGTTGTTATTATTTTTTTTTGTTTAAATGTGATTAATCATCAATTTTATTTTTTGATTTGTAAACTCAAGATTGAGTTTGGGATATAAAGAAAGTTATAGTATCCCACGATGCCCATTCGACATCGATACTAATTGATTTTGCATTATCCATTAAACCTAATAAATTTTTTAAAAATATTTTAAAAATAATTTAATATTAAAAATTATTATTAAAATATAATAATATTTTAATAAAAATTTTATAATATTTTTTCACTCAAGAGTATTCTAAATATCTATTGTTACTCTTTAAGAGACTCCATTGTAGATTTAAAAAAGATTTTTTAAAATCTTTGATATTGAAAAATTTTCTTAGTACTCTAATATTTTAATAACATTTAGGAAATGATACCTCACCTAGAGATTTACATAGAAATTGCTATTGCAAGTTTCTAGTAATTTTATTATTGGAAAGTTCAAAACAAAAATTTTTATTTTTTAGTTTTAGAAAATTTTGATATTTTAACTTTTCCTAAAAATTTTTGAAAATTTATTATAAATTTATTATAAAGAGTTAATACTTTAACTTTTTAAAAATATTTTATTTTATTTTATTTTATTTTTAAAAAAATTAGAAATATTGATATTTTAACTTTTTCTTTTGTAATATTTTTTAAAACAATTTTTTTTATTAATTTTTATTTCCAAATAATATAAAAATGATCTTTCAATTTTTTCCTAAATATTTTCCACATTTATTTTAAATAAATTTTAAACTAAGATATTTTATTTTCTATACAAATTTTTAAAATATTTCTAAAGCCATATCAAAACTCATTAAAAAATACAATAAATAATCATAAAAATAAAAAAAATAAAAATATACAAAAATTGAATTAAAAAAATGAAAGGAAACAAATATGAAAAAAAATTGAAAAAGCCCCTAATTAGTTTTGATCAACAGTTCAATCAATGGTTTGGTTCGACTTTAGGTGGCTTAGATTGGTTTAGCCCGATTTAGCTCAAAGGAAGGCTTAGAGCCCAGTCGGGTGTGCATATCTCAAGTCGAATCTAGGTCCACAAGTGGTCACCTAATATTTTTTTTAGACAATAAAAGCCATCTTTTTTTTTTACTTCATTTTTCTCTTCCCCATTTTCTACATTCTTTTTCTTTCTAATCTTTTAAACTCTCAAAGAATTGGCTATCTCTAACTAAATTTTGACACCAGCCACTTGCCAAATCAAAGCATGTCATCACTGGTCATTATTTTTTGATGTTAATTCATGCCCGAAATATACAAAAAAAATTTCTCTTACCTCTATTTTCCTATTTTCCTAGTTAGTTTTCTCAAAATCTAGCTCAAACTCCTCAGATCTAGGCTTAAAACTTGGGCCAAAATAGCTAAAATATCCACCTTCGTCACTTCGATGGCCACTGGTTCATAATATGTTCTTCCCTAGTCCTAGCCTTCCTCCCCTTCAAAAATCAAGGTAAAAAAAATTTCAAACCTTGTCAAAACTAAAACTTCCTCATTCTCTTGCTTTGTTATTTTTTTGGTTTTCGGTATTGGTTTTTGTTTTTTGTTGTTGGTTCCCCGCCTAGGATATGGATAGCTTTATATTTTAAGGTTTTTTTTTATTGTGTTTTTAGGTGCTTGATGGCTTTCGAGTCTAAATTACTTGGATTCGAGATGGGTGTTGGATTCGATGATGATGGGTTATGGTTGGGTAATAGTGAAGATTGGTGAGTTAGCCTATTGATGATGGTAGCTCAAACTCCCTACATCTAGGCTTAAAATTCATGCCCCAAAATACTCAAAATATCTACCTCTTCCATTTTGATGGCCGCTGATAGCACTAAAATATATAAACATTTACAAGTTCAATTTGGTTGAAAATTTGTTAAATTTGCTTGAATTTGGTACTTTTTATATGCATTTTCTTGATCTTTAGGTTTTTCTACTTGAAACATAATTTACATACAAAACCATGCAATAGTCCATGCAAGATGTTATTCGGCCATGCAATAACCCATTTAGTATAATCCATTTGGTATATGTTTCCTAAATTCTAGTTGAAGTTGGAATTGTAATGGCACTTAACTCTTACATATGGTTGGTTTTCCCACATCTAAGAGAACTTCTACATGCATGTGATATCTGAAGACTTTTATGCGAGGAATGACTGCTAGATGCATTTAGCCAAGAGAGTTTTGATTGCACAATGACTTTTTGATCACCATTAAAGAGTTATATTAAAAAAAATGACTCTTTTGATCTTTTATTCTTAAAAAGTTAAATATGAAACAAACACATGGTCTTGATAAACCATGTTCAGCTAAAACATTTTAAAAGAATTCAAGATCAATCATGCTACACAAATAAACATCAAAGATTGAATGCAAAAAGCATATTCAGCCAAGGCATTCTAAGAAGCATGAAACCATGTTTGGCCAAACATTATTGGATCAAGATAACGTCTATATTTTAGAGTTTAGATAAAATGTAGGTTGTATTCTTTATCCTTACCCCATAGCCAAACCCTCTATTATAAATAAGAAAGCTCTCTCTTGTAGTCCACATCCCACTTTACACCATTCTTCTTTTCTATTTTATTTAGTTTCATAGTTTTCTTTGTATTAGGCTAAGGTGACAAATTAGCCATTACAAAAGCTTTTGTTTTCTAAATTCTTTTTTTACAAGCATTCTTTATTTTGAAGCTTTCTTGTTTTACTTTCGGTTTTCACAATCTTGTTCTAAGTTTTGATTATTCAAGTTTCAAGCAATCTTTCTTTTACTATAGTATTTGACAATCTCCATTCTTTTATACAAGCTTTCAATTTATGCAAGATTCATTCAATCATTGTTTTTTTTTTTTTTAAGTTTTTACAAGTTTCAAGCAACCATAAATCTTTCTTTCTTTCAAGTTTCAATCTTTGATTCTTTAGATCTAGTTTATTTGGCCTTAATCCAAAATTCCTAGTGATTGTTCGATATTGAGATCTTGGCCTATATTAGTGATTTTTATTTGTTCTTGATTTATCATTCTTATAATCAATTCAATCTTTTATTTGTTTAAATATACGACTTGTGGTAGTTATCTCCTTTGAATCCACCTAACAAATCAATTCTATAATCCTTGTAGGATGCTATTCTATTTCATCACTATATTACTTGATTATGATCTATGCACTTATAGGCATTATAAAAAAAAAGCAATTAAGTTTTTGATGCTGTTGCCAAGTATTACTCCCTTGTAATCTAAACATTTTACTTTTATTTGCTTAAAATTGTTTTGATCTTTTCTTTATTTGTATACGTTGATCTAGAAATGCTGAACTAGCTCTACTTGAAAACAAAATTAAAAGAACTTTTAGACATTTGAGAAAAGAGCAAACAACACCACCAACTCTAATTCCAATGGTGAATGCAAACAATGAAGGTTATAAAACGTTAAGGATTATGCTATCCCTAATGTTAATGGTTTTTAGCCATCCATAAGAATGCCAGCCATACAAGCAAACAACTTCAAAATAAAGCATTCTATTATTTAAATGACCCAAACTTTTGTACAATTGGGAGGATTACCAAGCGATGATCCAAATCTTCACTTATCTAATTTTCTTGAATTATATGATACTTTTAAATAAAATGGTATTTTAGATGATGCTATTGGACTAAGACTTTTTTCTTTTTCTCTCAAGGACAAGGCAAAGAGTAGGTTATCTTTTTTACCATTTGAATCAATCATAACTTGGGATGATTTGGTATAAAAATTCTTCGTTAAGTTCTTCTCACCTACCAAGATTACCAAGCTAAGGAATGAAATAACTACTTTTATATAGTTTGATGGTAAAAACCTTTATAACACATGGAAGAGATTTAAAGAGCTATTATGTAAGTATCTACATCATGGTCTCCCTCAATGGTTGCAAATTCAAATATTTTACAGTGGTTTCACACCATTTATGAAGACTACATTATATGGCTACTGAAGAAGCCATTATGAGCAATGCTACTAAGGAAGCACATAAACTAATTGAAGAGATGACAGTCAACAACTACTAATAAGGCATGAAATGTAAGGTACATAAAAAAAATTATTGGTGTGTCTGAACTTGATATTTTTACTTCCATTAATTTACAACTAGCCAATTTAACCAAAAAAAAATTAAAGCCCTAGGAACCCCATCCCAAACCACCCCATTCATATTATATAAAACCCTTTTGTCTCTTTTGAAATTTGTGATAGATCTCATGCTATTGAAAAGTGTCAATTTAGAATAGAAACGATCCAATATGGCCAATAGTTTGAGCTTGCTTATAACACCTATAGCCATACCTATAACCCAAGCTAGAGAAACCACCCTAACTTTTCT